GGGCAAAGCTTAAATCTGCCTAACACATCCTTATTCCAAAAGGGCTCTTTGGGAAATCCATTCCAGGAATTCAGCAGTATTTCATATTCCCAGATGCCTTAGCAGATGTGCCATATAGATAAAGCTGGCCTAAAGATAACTCCCTACTTTGCCGGTAGTTTTGGGATCAACTTCCCTGCTGAAGACCAGGAAAACAGCCCTGTTATATTCAGGTGGGCAAACTTGAGCATCCCTGCTTCCATTTATAGTGTAGCTGGAGGCATCATGTTATGCTTTTTTGGATTCCAGTGTAAACCACAAGAAAATCACCGAGATCAGCTGAGAAGTGCTAATGATAAAGAGAAGAACTGACAAAAATACCATTGAGAGTTTTCAGTCAGTATGACTTTTGCGACATATTTAGGTGGTCAGTAGGATCCCAATACAAGGAAATTTCTTAAGGACAATATAGTTATGTGTACTTTCTCTTTAAAGAGAATTCTTAAGATTTGCCATTGTTAAGAATGGCATCAAAACTGTTTTCTTCAAACCAAACTCACAGGCCTTTTTCTTTGAACCTACTAGTTTGCCTGGAGAGCACAGGTCTTCCATACACACACGTCTTCCATACGCACACATTCCTTTTTCCAAATACATTTAGTGCTACCAAACTATCTGTGTCAGTTTGTAGACCAGATCAACACAGAATTTAAATAGACCAGGTCTGGGGAGCTGCCAAGTGAGTAGTCCACTATGTGATATGCAATTAGAAAAATGCCCTCTATCAAAGAATTCAAAGTTTAAATAGTACCATGGAAAATGTTGGAGATACTTATGAGATATTGCAGTTAAAGACTGGTGTCATCAAAATACATGTAATTATCTGTCTCCTAGGGATTATTCATTTTGGTGTTTGGAACTCTCTGGGATAAGAAGGTAAGGATTCCAGCTATTTGTTACATTATGTCAAAATACTGTTGGAATTTGAACAGAATTTCTGTATTTACTGATTGACTATTTTTTTTAACAAATAGATACAAGAAGCCCTGTTGAAGAGGAATTCATCATCCAAATGGAGTTCACAGCAATCAAAGGTTAGAATCTTGACCTAAGATGTATTTCAGTTACTGCTGAGTACTCTAATGTTGTCCAGTGCACTTTAAATTCTGGATTATTTATTAGAATAAGTCAGAGAGGACACTAACAACATAAATAGTATTATATCTCCTTTTAAAAAATTCATTATTTTCACTATAATTGGCAAAAAATGAGAAGGCCATTAGTGGACATTTGCTTTAAATTCCACAAGAAAGAAACCAGAAAATGTAACTGAAACTTTTAGTTAGAAAACAGAATTTTTTTTGGCACTAGTATTTATTCACAACCTGAGAGAAATGCAAGTGACACTTGGGGAATTATTGTTTCAACTCACACTTCTGCATTTATAACACCTTAACAAAAAATGCCAGGATGTGTAAGAAACTTCGAATGGTTTGAGTTGAAATGGAACCTGCAAGATCATCTAGTTCCAACACCCACCTCCCCCTCTTCCCAAGCTGCCAATGGTGCTGGCATCACCATTTTATGACAATAAAGCCTGATTTTATATTGGTATCTGAACAGGGTTTATTCAGAAGAGCCTGTACAGGTATTGCTAAAGAACTAGGAAGCCGACTTAAAAGCAAGGATAATTAAGAAGATGAGAACACAGGCTCAAAGGAATTAAGGAGTCCATTAAGGTTGAACAGTCAGTTCAGAAGAACAGCATTGGATCAAATCACTCCAGTTTCCACAGAAATTGCTGAAATTGGAAACTGCCCTCAGAGATCATCTTGCATCACATTCCCATCAGAGCATGGTCAGCTAGAGCTCAGAGCTGTGTCCAGTTGGGCTGGAGTAGCTCCAATGATGGAGACACCACAAACTCTATGTGCAGCCTTTTCCTGTGTTTGACCACCCTCACAGTGAAAGAGTTTCATCTTAAGTGGGATTTCCCGTATTTCTATTTCCTGTGTTTGACCACCCTCACAGTGAAAGCCTGTTATCCTTCTCAAAGCCTCTTATCCTTCCACTGGGCACCAAGGAGAAAAGTCTGGCTCTGTCTTTACTCTATCCTAATCAGAGACCCCTGAGTATGTCCTGGCATTGGGTTTGTTCCTCCCCAGGAACAGGAGGACTTTGAACTTCCCTTTGCTAAACTTCATAAGATTCTTGTCATTCCATTTCTCCAGCCTGTTGAGGATGGAGAATGAGCAAATAAAGCAATATCAAAGTCTTTGATTAAGTGTTTTATATGTGATTCATTTACCTTCTTTCTCTACCACCTTATGATATAGGTGACAATACACAACACTGCCTAATTACCCCCACCAAAGTATAACTAAATAATGAAGAAGGACCGAACAGAAAAAGATGTGGTTTTCATACCTTTTTTTTGGAAATACATCCCTGGAGGAATCCTGTTAAATTCTCCAACCACTCCAGAACCAAAAATGAAACTTAATTTTAGCAGCAAAAAGCTCCTTCCTTCCTTTGTGTCTGGACTGCAGAGAGTTGTGTTCCAATGCCCTCTAGTGTGTCAAGTTAAATTTGCCTCGGATTATTTCAGGCTTTGGCTGTCAAGAACAATCCCCATTCACATAAATCTTAGCTATTGTGGCTACCTTAATGGCCATACTGGCACAGATAAGAGAACAGGATCCCAAACTGCCTGTTAGGACAGACTGGAGCCTAAGCCATCCCCCCTGGCCAAGAGTTAGAGACAAACAGGTTGTGCCCTGTCGTTTCTTTTAAGGTTGATCACCTCCATCACCACCCAAAAACATGCAAATGTGTGAACTTGATACCTCACAAACATCTAGCTTTGCCTTCTGTGGATTGTTTGCTCATACTAATGAAACAAAGCTTATTGGAGCTTTTTTTTTTTCCCTCCCTAAAATGGGGCTACAAAGAAAGTTCTTTTGACAAAAAGCATTTTTCTCTCTTTCAGTCATCCTCCCTGAACCTTGTGACACCAATGCTTGCTATGAGCTACCCATTTTCAAGAACCTTTAACAACTTATGTGGGAAAACAGGTATGTAACAACAGATCTCCCTTACTGAAGCACAAACAGGATTTGGCCTTCACTCTTGCTCTCAGGGTCTGTTTGTCCCGATATCCATTAATCTATTTGTCTCTCCATGCATCCATAGATTGTTTTTAATCTTCTAATGCAAAGGAACAGCAACAAGTCAATTGTAGCGTAATGCTAGCAGTGAAATTGTCTATCTCTAAAACAATTATTGGATGTTTCACCAATTCTAAACCCCACTAAGTGAGCTTTGTTTTGAGCTTAATGAGATCATGGCACAGTTCATCTGTTGTTCATGTACTCTTCACCACCTTGGGACTGTATTTCTTCAAATGTTCTCTGGCTGTCATTTTGTGGACATCACCATTTTAGTTATGACTTCATCTTGCAAAAAGAAATTCTGGAAATAACATTTAATTTCTAAGTGTCCACTCTTTGTATCCACACATTGTTCAGAGAAGATAGTGACACTTGGGTCTTAGTTTAGAGCCTTGTGGCCATAAGAGGGAGGGAGCTGGGATTCATCTCAGGAGCCTGTGGATGTGTTGTGTTCTAGATCTGTCCCTGTGCTCCAGGAGAAGCACTAAGTGCCTCCATTTGTGTGAGAAAATCATTGCCCTGTGGCATGGTTGGCAATTCAGTTGACACAAGCTGGCTGTGTCACCAAACACACTGAGTTCTGTGGTTGCTGGTATTGCTGTAATCCAGGGCTGCAGGGCAAGGCAGAGCCACCTCAGCCACCAGCACAGGTGTCACTGTCCTTACTTTACAGTGACAATGTCCCAGGCTCTCTGTCCTTGTCTAACCCCTGTGCTTTGTTTTGCAGGCAAATACAGAGTATCTTCTTCTGAGCCATCCACCTCTTCCACTGAAAATACTTCCAAGGCATATTCCTTGCTTAACTGAAGCACTGCCAGTGCTAAATAATGTAACTCTGAAAGGACCTCTTCCAAGACACACACAAAAAGTTCCTGGGAGTCACCAGGAAATGGACTGCTTCTTTTTGACTAAATTGTGCCTTGGTGAATTCTTCTGGAATAATCATTTCTGGTAAATGTGTAAGGCAGGGAAGCTGAGAGAGGAGGAATTTTACAAGGTCTGCCAGTCCCAGAAGAGACAGGAAGGATTTGAAGGCCTTCATGTGCAAGAAAGGACATTGGAAGTGAAGAATTCTCAGCCCTTAAGTGAGTGCTTAGCACTGCGCAGTACTGAGACATGAATTGCAGTGCTTCACACAGTTGTTGTCCAGTGGATTTGGTATTTCCCCATCAACTCTCTGAATGATCCCAAAGGCCTGTGCAGATACACAAATACCTCACAGCTTCTCTCCTGCCCTCGTATTAGAGTCTGGAAAGGCTGTAGTGGTTTCCACTTTCCATTTAAGACTTTCTGGAACTAAAAATTTCCAACTGAGAAGGCCCATTTCAGATCTTCACTTTTGACTTACATAAAATGAAGACCGTGGTGATTCCTGCATGGTCTTCTTTCAGATGGAAAGACTGAAAGCTCCATGTGGCACTTTTTTGAAGAAAACGAAGCTTTATGCCCTTAACAATATTTTTCTTTCCCTTGATGTGTAATGTGGTAAAACAGAGATGGTTGCTGCCCTGTGCCACAGAGGGGACTGCATTTATTTAATGCATAGAAATGTTAAGAATGCAAGGAGTGCCTTGTGTAAAGTCTGTATGTTTGGGTCTTCTCTCAGAGGAGAAACACACTTGAAGGACTCAGAGAATAAGCTCTATAGTGAATATAAATCATCATGTGCCAGGCAGGATGAATGGTTTTATATAAATTATTGCTCTAATACTACATTTGTGGAACCATTTATTTCAAGCCTATACACCTTTAAAGGCAGGACTCCTGTCTTGAGAAGAACCTGAAAAGTATTTATAATGCACACAAATGTTACAAAATTTATTGTACAACATGGTAGAATCATGAAGATTTAGATTTGAGGTCAATATCAAATACTGCAGCCACGTGCTACAGTTCTGTTTGATTGTCAGGGAATCAGGCCTATGTTTGCCAATGGTGAACCTGTTCCTGGAACTTTGAGGTGAATCAGGATGGGAAACTGTTCTCTACAGTTAGAAGCACTTATGATGGCTTGGTATGGGCAAGGTGGTATGGGCAAGAGTTTATGAATTCTGTGTAATAGCTAATTAGAGTAAGTACACCAGCACAGCTCCAGCGAAAGGGAGTGATGCTGTACTGATCTACGTAAGTATCTGTACCCTTCAGAATCCTTGAGCAATTTTTGTAGGAACATTTCCAGAATCTTAATACAGGTGTTTTGGTGTGACTTTTAACAGTGTTTGGAGAGGTTCAACCAGTTATTTAATCTAAATTTGAACCATGGCTGAGAGTGAAGGCATAGGCTCTCAACACTTCTTGTTATGGAATGAAGAAAAAAACTTTCAAAATACACACAAGAAAGGGCGTGTATAAATTTTCATCAGACAGCAGCTCTACATGACACATTTTAACTGCCACATCCCTCAGAAAACAAAAGGATTGCTGCCAAGCTGTTGTCAGAGCTTTTCATCCATATGATGACTGGTTTTCTCCAAATTACATTCATCATTTTTCATTGAAAATGGGTGTCTTATGAACCAGGTTGAAATTTGTGCCCCCTGCAGTTCTTTATCTTCTGGTCATCATGGAAATGAGGACGATAGTTAAGACAATGGTTCCAGCAATTCCACCAATCGACATTCCCAGGATGCTCCCATGGACTTGCCTTGACTGACACCTCTCCCCAGTGAAGAAGAAGGCTTGTCCTGATGGGCACCTGGGAAAACAAAGCCAGATTCAGTGGATCAGGAGCCTTCTCATGCCCTCACCCCAAGGTCCTAACATTTGCTGTCCCAGATGAGCAGTTCCCATTGGAGGGGTTCATGTCACAACATTCCTACCTTGTTAGGAGGCTATTTACACACCCTGGAAGCACCACAGGATGGAGCTTCTTTGCTTTTTGCTGAGAAACCTGCCCTCCTGGCTGCTGGTAGGAACTAGCAACTGTGGTACTGTTTTGTTTCTACTATTCCTTAACAACCTGGTGGCTTAGATCTCTGAGTACTTTTTAGCTGCATTACTTGAAGAAGAAAGCCAGGACAAGGAGGGAGGAGGTCTGTGGTACCTGCAGTTTGCTTTTCCTTTCACATTCACACAGACTCCATCGTTCTGACAAGGGTTTGGGTCACATGGATCTGGCAGATAAGGCAGCTGGTCTTGGATGGGCTCCATGTCCTGGGCTGCTCTCTTCTGCCTTTCAAGAACCAGGCCTTCTGTGAGGGCAGATTGCACAGGTCCAACAGGAACTTCAGTGTTATTGAGGTGAATTATATCTTTAAAAAAAGGAGAAAGACATCAGAATAAGTGAATGATGCTATAGGTAGCATGCCTTAAATCAGGGGCTCACAGGGTGCTTTCTAGACCAGAGGATGCTCCTTGTCCATCTTCCCTTTACAGAGCTCTTGCTACACCACCACAAGTTCTGTGTATTTAAAGCATAAGGTAGAAAATAATATTGAAATTACAGAAGCTAGTTAGGTAAATCTGTGATTTTCTATGAGGCTTTTCTATTTAGAAATGAACACAGTGTGGGGATGGCCTTTAGTATGTTCGATGTTTAGAAATGGACATAGCTACTGGTCAGGGTGCTTAAAGGTGTCCAAAAAGTTCACATTTCAAAACTCACTGCCATTTAGATCCCTCTTAACTCACAATCACTTTAGTCAACCTCACCCACCTGACACTAGTCCTATTTCAGAGTCCCATCAAAGAAATGCTTTTTAAAGTTTATCCCCATTAGAAGAGATCTTGGAGACAGGTGTCAAGAGTTATTTGAAAGTATGACAATAGAAAGAATCACCAGTTTTGTAAGGAGAGTCAGGAAAGGGGTCCTTACCATTAAATTCTGCAAAAATAATAAGGTCATCATTTTTCAGGAAGCTTCTCCTTCTCAGCTGGCTGTGAGATATGAAGTTACTCCACCCCCAGGCTATGCTTCTGTTGCAATTGCACGACTCATCAAACCTTCCAGCAATTGATGGTTTATCCCATATTATACCTCCATTATCTGCAAAGGGAAAATGAGAACCACAAAGTTGTGCAGCTCAAAGTACGACATGACTTTTTCCTGCATTACTGTGTTAAAGGTGATTTATGCTATAAAATCAAGTTCAGGACTGAAATTCCCAAATAAATCCCAGAGGACTGACAAACTAAAGGCACCAAGTGATCTTCAGGTTAGGTCTGTATGAGGATTCTTAGTCTATGTGAGGCCACTGAAATTCCACAGCTTCTCTTTCACTGAGAACTAATCAAATACAAATTCCCTCCTCACTGTTACCAGCTAGGAGTTCCCTCCTGAGTAAGGACACTCCCGGACCAGTTTGTAGGTACCTATAGTTTAGAATTTAGCTGATTTTTGTCATTACTGTGATTTTGTTAAACATATTCATATTTAGGCTTTAAAAGCTCCTACTGAAAAAGTATGTACTTAAATTCCACTAGAAAAAAGTAGAAAGTGATGAAGATTCATGTGTAGTATTTTATACTGTACCAAACTCAGTTTTGTCCCATTATTCTTATTTCTATAATAGAATCACAGAAAAGTTTGGATTGGAAGGTACCTAAAAGATCACATCGTTCCAACCCCTGCCATGGGCAGGGACATCTTCCACTAAAAGCTCCAAGTCCCATCCAGCCTGTCCTTGGACACTTCCAGGGATGGGGCATCCACAGTTTTTCTGGGCAGCCTGTTCCAGTGCCTCACCATCCTCACTGTAAAGAATTTCTTCCTAATATCCAATCTAAACCTGCTCTCTTTCAGTTTGAAGAAAATTCCCTTTTGTCCTGGCACTCTGTTCTTTTGTAAATTGTCTCTCTCCATTTTTCTTGCAGGCTCCCTTCAGGTACTGGAAAGCCACAACTAGGTCTCCCTGATTGTTCAGCTTTCTCTTCCCCAGGCTGAACAATTCTGAATTAACACATCCATGAGAAAGAGTGAATGTTGTGCATTCAGACCATGTAGGCTGAGGTTCCCTGAGTGTGTTGAAGTTGACTGAGCCTCCAAAATGCAGTTTTAACTTAAATTACCGTTTAGTGACAGAATACTGCACCCTGCTGTCATTCCATCAACCTGTGGTGATATGTCATCTATCACAATGGACAAACCACAGGTAGAAAGAGAATTGCCAGCTCTTGGGAAGAATCTATATTTAGAGTCAAGCTCAGATATCCCAGGGGTTGTTCATAATAACATCAACTTTATATATGTCACTTTTCATGTTATATAATCTTTCACAGGCAGGAATTCTGAGTCACACACAGGGAAGATATACACAGGAAAGTGTCTTAAATTGGGAAATATGGCAAAAGTTTCTCAGCTCTGAGTCCTACACTCAGTCCTCTTACTCAGATTCCTTGGCTGTCACTGTCAACATTCCTCCAGGCAGACACCCTTACCTGAGTTAACATGGTCCTTGCTTGTGGTGAAGCTTTTGCTCGAGGACATCCTTTTCAGGACGTCGGGGTCCTGGTCCAGCACTGTGAGTGTGGCCTGGCGGTTCAGAGCTGGCCACTCCAGAACTGCATCGTTCTCTCCACTGCACAGGTGGAAGGCAACACGAGCATAGCCACTGTTTTGGTAGTTGGGCAACACGCTGATGCCAAACCCATAGCCCTCAGGGCTGTAAAACCGGGGGCTTTCAACTACGCTGATGGATGAGTTCTCAAGGATTTTGCTGAAGTTGCGAATGACCCACACAGCTGTGGGACAGGGAGTCTCTGTCAGAGTCACATCATCAATAGCAATCCCACCCAGTGAAGAGCTGGGGTTGCCCTTCAGTCCTTGGAAGAGGTAACGGAACTTCTTCTGAGCATTGAGGGTTATGTGGGCAATTTTCCAGTTGGAGTCAGTGTCCGCTTTGGTAAAAGGAAAGAAAAACATTGCCATCAGTGGGATAAGAGGTATTATGAAGCAACTTGCCCCTAACCATCCATCCCAGATGGATTTTTAGACAACTGGACCCCTCACAGAGTCCTGAAGGCCAGAAATCTTAAGTTGATATTGTGACTATAATATATCCACATTGTTTTGTCATCTAAATGCTTTGGACATGTTGTACAAGGAATTCTTCACCTGTTAGGGAACGACAGCCTCCAGTACAAAGGACAACAGCCTAAGGGCTAAGATTAAACAAGAGATGTGAATCAATGACCCAATGTGTTCCTGACACTTTTTCATGGATTTATCCTTCACTGTAAACTGCTGCAGCCTCATGTAGGCAGGTTATGATAGGTCTTGTGTTTTGACCACATAAATCACATGGAGCTCCAGTGGCTGAGTTTGTCCTATTTAGCAAATAATCCAAAGTAGGAATCCAGTTCACATTTCCAAAACTGCATATGCTTTTATATTCCCAACTATCTAAAAATCAGTCTGGGGTTCTTATTGCCTGCAGAGGAGCACAGGTATTTTACACCTGAACAGCCCACTCTTAGATCATATAGCAGCCAGTGGAGACACAGTCAGCTGCTCTCCAGCATGGCCTAGGGTCTCTCTCAATCACTGAGTGCAACATAATATTAGGAATGTTGTGACTTCTGCTGTGAAGCACCAAAATTACATTATTACAACCTATAATTTCTCTGCTAAATGTGTTCATGTAATACCAAAATTCTTAGCTGTATTGCAAAATATTCTGGTAACTTTGGGAAAATCCTTTGGCTTCTGAACCAGTCTTCTGCGTTCATCGGCACAGTAAGACAACTTCTCCTCTCTACTCAAATATTAATCTTATTTCCAGAATTACCTTGAAAGGTTTGAATTTTCCTCATCTTACGAATGTTCCCAGTACCATCATCCTCTTTCAGCCAGATGATCAATTTGTCAGAAGGGCTTCCTGTGGTCCTATAGAAGAACTGGAGGCACTGCTGAGTTCTCTTTGGATAAAGGATTCGGGACTCTAGGATTGCCACCTCATCTGCCTGGCCAGAGTTGGTGTTGAAGTACATGAAGTAGCCAGCATCTGGGAATAAAGGGTAGTCTGTCACTGCCTGTTTTACACATTTCCTGCAAAGCTGCATGGTGTAAATTCATAATTTCATCTGCACTCTTTTAGTAAACAGAAGAGTAGTACTTAACATGAACAATAAAGGCAGTGACACATGACAACCATCCAAGACAGACTGGGATAAGAACAGGAGTAGCAGTTCAGCATGTGTATGGAATTCACTGCTGTCAGCTCATGTCAGTTTTGCATTAGTTTGTCTAATTGGAATTTGGATTACTCAGGAATGTCAGAGATATATGAAGCAGAGAAATCAGTGTTTACCACAAGCAATTAGAAGATACATTTTTTTTTCACTTGATTTATACTGAAGATAATCTAAAAATGAGATCTTAGAGGTCATGTGCTATATTACCTTGTAAAGAGTAAGATAATTTCTTATGAGCAATAAGGATAATAAACAGGGGTTGGACACAAAACACTGTCCTGATCTTGAACATGCAGAAGGTCTTTTTTTACAGCTTGCCCAAACAATTCAAAACTCAATGACTGACCATAAGAAAATTACTTAAGAATTCCTGCTCCTCTATTTTTGAAGTGTTCTTTACTTTAGTTTTGAAGTGTCTACTTTTATCCTTATATTTACAAGGATTCACCATTTGCATCCCTATCATATCTTGGAATCACACAAAGTTGTCACGTCTTATCTATATTGTGTTGCTTTTTAGTTATTTAATTTAGTCAATGATTAAACAAATAAGTTAATTTTTTTTAGCTGTTGTGTGAAAGTTCCATGGACTCTTGTCCAAGAAAACATATCTTAGAATCACCATCTTAGGATGGTTTGAGTTGGAAAGAACAAGATCGTCTTGTTCCAACAGTTATACCTGCAGCTGCATAAAGGCAGTGCAGCTTCCTGCAGGCTTAGTGAAGGGTCTTGAGCTGTTTGTCAGGTTCCTCTAACCAGGCAGGGAATATCTTCATTCCCTTCCACATGGTAGTTGCAGTCTTTGCAACTTTCTTCTATTTCCAGAACTAGAATTCCACAAGCTTTACTTCACATTTGCATTGCAAACACAACATTTATGAGTGGCTACAAGTGTTTAATTCTTATAATGAAGTGATATAACTCTTACACAGACTTTGGAACTTGCAGTAAATTGCTTTCCTGGTTATATTTAAAAGACCTCTAGGTAAGATTGTTCTTTGTCTCCTTCAATATTGCTGGTGTGGAGAACATTCCACTACATTGAAAAAGTTTAGTGTCCAGAGTCTTTACAAACTTCTCTGAACCCATCATTGTCATCAACGCTGGAGAGAACTCAGCTCAGAAAGTGCTTTGTTCCTTTCTTTTACCTCTACAGCGCCCAGAAAGTGTGTGGTCCTCCTGCCCCATCACACTGCCCTGTTGGTGGACCCAGTCTTGATCATGCTTGGTGCCCTGGATCATACCACAGATGTTTTCAAGCTCAAAAGAACACTGGTCCAAAAAGGTGTGAGTTGAAGCTGAAAAAAAATACACATATGGTCACCTCAGAGTGAGCTACTAGCTCATAAAAATTTCTTTTTAATTTTGGGGGGTTTGTTTATGGTAGTATAACCATCTTGTAGAGAAGACAGCCCTCACGTTAGCAGATGTGAGCCCAATGACTCAAAAGAGGAAATTGATTCCTGGAGGGATTCCTTGGATAAAGACAACAATCTTTCACCTCTTTGCAGAAGGTTAATAAGCCCCATGGTGCAGTGACAGATGGTGACTGTCTTGGTGCCTCTTTGACAGCCTTGGTGTATTTAACCATTCTTCAGCTGAGGTTATTGTTCTTCATAACAGTTCTCTTATTGATTAACTTGAGCTCTGGCCTTCCACTCCAAGCAAAGTCCACCCAGTTACCTTTGGCTGGTTCAGCTGAGTTTGCCTTCAAGGTGATGCTTCTGCTGGCAGCACCAAGGGGACAATAACTTCTCGTGAACAACTGTGATCAGTGATAACATCTTCAACCAGCTCAGCAAACACCTAGGCAGTGTGGGACTCTAGACCCAGCCAATCTCAGGTGCAAAATAATCTGATTAAGTCCAAATGTCAGTAAAAGAGGACAAAGTACAGTTGCATTCACCTCAAAAAAGGACAACAAGGCTGCCCACACACCACAGGCAAAACATGACCACATGTCTGAACTGCTGGGAGCAGCATGGAAGAAAAAGTGTGGATGGTTTGACTTTCCTTGGCTAATCTTTCCTAAAATACTGACAGTGAGAAAAGCCAAAAAGGGTTGAGAAGGGAACAAACTGATTGTATTTATCTGGACATCACAGGTCCTGTCCCATACCTCTTCAAGCACATTTGAGAAGAGTTTTTGTGAGTTTAGAGAAATAAGGGAGGTGAACCAGCCTGGCTCAAGTATAACCAAGGAAATTGTTTGCCATGGTTAAATTCTGACTTACTGCAGTTGTACATGCGATTCAGTCTTTCCAGGTCAATGGCACTGAGGTCTAGACGTTGTCCAATTATGTCATCAAACGCTGGTATCTTTGCTGTGATGGTGGGGACACTTTCATTTTTGTTAAATGAAAGTGGTTCATAGTGCATCAGTGATTCGTAGTCATAGGGGGTGTTCAGATCAGTGATGTAGGTGTCATCATACTTTGCAAAATTGTGCTCTTTGCCTGGTAAAAGAACAGAAGAGTGCTTCCTTTTTAGAGAAAATGGAAAGGAAATGGCATTACCATGTCCCCTTCAATACAGTTTTCTAAGGCACAAATTATATACTCCAAAGCAATTATTTCACAACCAAATATTAAAACTTAGCAAGATTTGTGTTTGTCATTTGGACAACAAAGCAGTGCCTTTGGATTGCAATTCTGTGCTCTACCAATTGACTTCAGTAAATTCAAAAATGAATATCAGTGAGCTGTAAAGAATGGGATACATGGGAGGTTAGATTATAATTAATAGGAGTGGTGTAATAGTAATGATCCTGAAGGATTCGTTTTAAGGATTAAAGTACTCCATTCCAGAATCTGTGAATATTGATGCAAATATTTCCCAAGTATTAGATCATATATGAAGAAGAAGAGGCCCTGAAACTCATAAAGGAAACAAATATGACAGCCTGGAAGTGTCTTCAGGTTCTGTTCTTCTTTGAAATAAATAATGCCCTAGCAATCTCTGGAGAAATAAGAAAGATATTTTTACCCTAGATTTACAATACTGATATGATATTTCTATTGAAATGGCTTTTGTAAACATGTTTCACATGGTTTCTTGGTGAAGTAATTTGTACTTAGAGAAAGTTTTTCATTATGAAGGTGTCTGCTAGGGCAAAGAGAGGGAGCCATTTCACATGCTTTGGTATAGAAGTAAAAAGAGCGTGCCAGCATTTACAATTGCAAATAATGCTTTCAGCATATTTGGCATTCTTTTTCAAAGACAAAATAGCACATGACTGTGCTGGTGGGTAATTACACTTTCTCTGCTTAACAGCTGCCCTCCCCTTCTGCAAATCACAAAGGTCTTCAGTTCAAGGCTTGAGATTATGTAAGAGCTTAGAATTGTTTTCTTACAGAGACTTGAATTGCACCCGTTATCAAAATTTTTTAAAACCCCTCTTCTAGTCACTTCTTTTCAAATATATCATTGCTATGTAATACAGAATCAGATCTCACAGGGGACAACAGGAAAAACTGTCTAGGGATCCGGGGGACTGTGACGAGTTTGCTGAAACTCATAAAGCTCCTGAATATGGTCATACTAAACCTGAAGGCAAGAACCTGCAGACACACCTGAGTAGGAGGGAGCAGGACAGAGCCTTATTTTATATTTCTCATCCGATCTAATAATTTTAAGGGTTTTTTCCTGTGCAAAGTGAATATTTTCAGTTTCAGGAAAGCCTGAATCTGAATATAAAAACCTTTCAGATTTTGAAAGGATCTTTGCCTACAGAAGAGCTACCTCAAAACTCATAATCTAAATAAGTTTACAATTTGCATTACATGATTAAAGGAAACAGATTCATAGACAGGAAGTAATTAGGTTAAAATAAGTCTTAGTAATTACTTTAAAATAAATCCAAGAACCAAGGGGAAATAAAAGTCCTGATTTCCAAGCAGGACTCTCCATTCTGACCTTAAACAATGTCCAGGTTTGACTAGAAAAATTGCACCAAAATTTCTTAATATACAGTGGTCTCAGGTGTTGCCCACTGAAATTTTCTAAATTTTCTAAAATTCTATCCTTAGGAAGGTCTCTTTAAATCTAGAAGTGAAAATGGGATATTGATAAATCTACACTTTGCAAAAAGTGTAATTTGAACAGCAAAAATCTAACTTGAATGTTAAAACCCACCTGCAATAATTTCATCCCACCAGATATTCACGTAGTCATCCCGGTCCATCCTTGACTGCTCATGGTAAAATCCTAAAGCGTGCAGGATCTCATGTTCCACAATTGCTCTGTAGTCACACCTTGACCCAATTGAGAGGTTCTGTCCAGTCTGTAGGTCCCCCACCATGGACCAACACCTGAGAAAAAGGGAGAGCTTACTCTCTGTCCAGTAGTTTTCTTCTCTGTGTTTAACTTTTCAATCTGCTCACTGGATTTAGAGTAAGATTGTAAAAGTTTTTAATATGGAAGGAGTCACATAAATCATTATTTGGATGCTGACCATGTACCTTGATACCCTAAAAATACTCTAGCCTGAAAGCAGACTAGCCCCCAGAAACTATCACTTCATTATTTATCCTCTCTGGCAGGGAAGATCACCCTGCATTTTGGAAAGCCACAGAAGTTTCGTCCTGCATCAGCTGCCATTTGGCTAAGAAACATGAAACACAGAACCTACATGAAAACAGTAAATTCATTGAAACAGGCTGAACATTTTTGCCATAACTTGGGCTAGAAAAAGGACTCAGGAGTATTTAGAACAGCAACATTTAGTCTTTTTTAACAGCAACCATACTTTTCATTGGCCAGAGGTATGAAAGTACATTTCTAGTATTAAGATCTTCAGCATTGACTTGTCAAAAATCATGGTGCTTGTAAACTTGTAAGAGAAGTGTCATAGGACACTCAATGAAGAGCTGAAGGCAGAAACATGAACTTTTGGGAAGACAAGAAGTATTCATAGCTGATACAGTGCGAAGATTTTTGTGCATTTCTACATTTTCTTTCATAACATACTTAGATGTAGGAAATAAATCCTTTCAGTTCTTGAAAACTTGAATCTCTGTGCATAAAACACTTTCAGATTTTGAGAGACTATTCTTTAAAGAGCCATGTCCAACCAATAGAAATATTAGAATAGATTGTCTTTCCATTGTCTTTTTTGTTTTTGTTTTTCTTTCTTTTTTTTTTTTTTTTTTTTTTGTTTTTTTTCCAAAAAATTTAAATCCTCAAGTTCTTTGTTATCTAGCACTGTGCTTGGCCAGATTAGGTTTTGATTTGCACTTTGGTTTTTGCCTCCCTTTATTTTTGAGTGTTTTTTTTGTACAAGATGATGTTCAAGCAGTTTAAGTTTCATTGATTAAATTAACGCAGATTTATTTTTTTAAACAAATTTGCCCAGGAACCAGACTCACCTCATAGGCTTTTGATAGTCTCAAGGAGTTCTGTCTCCTTGAGACTATCATGAAGGCAAGACTTAAGGTTAGTGTCCTTTTCTGAGCATGAATATTAAAAAAAATTTTCTTTTTCTTTTTTTTTTTTTTTTTTTTTTTTTTTTTTTTTTTTTTTTTTTTTTTTTTGGTCTGTCTTCCAAAAAATTCCAGACTTAAATTCTAGCTATTTACATTCTTGGTAAGTTAAAAGGATGTACATGGAGGTCTTCATCAAAATGGAAAACAACCCTAGATGGAATAGTGGATGTAGCTGATGAAAACCCAGTGAGGCTGGGTTTCACCTTCAGAACTCATCCTCCAAACAATAGTCAGCAGAGGGAGCAGCTGCTTGCAAGCTTTTTGTCTAAGAATCTGATTTGTTTTCCTGGTGGCCTCTTTTTCTCTGCTGACAGCAAACCTTTAGACTGCTGCAGTCAAATGGAATGAGTTCCTAGCTGAATCTACATGGCAAAACTAAACAGAAATTGCTATTATCCTTACCCATCTTGCTTGCTAAAGAAAATGTAGGTTCTTTCTCCTTCATAAGGCTTGAAATCAATGCAGGACTTCAGGCGGAACATTTCAAATGCCTGGAGAATGACCGCTTTGGCATTCAGTTCTGGAAAACAAGGACAGAACCTTTCATACATTGCAGTTTGTTCATCTTGGAGACATCAGATAGGTACAGATACACATGTGGAACCAAAGGAAAAATGATTGAAAAGAGAAACTATTGAATTTGATTAAATTGTGGTTTGCTATGTTAGCTGTAGAAGAAAGAAAAATAATTTTGATATAAACAAGACTACAATAACTAGTTATTAGTGAAGTTTAATATTTTTAATTTGAAACAGTTCTGGAAAAGGCAAATTTTTTATCACAGTGACTGTAGTTCAAATAAGGATTGGAGATAAAATCTGAATAAAGTGTCTGCATTACCTAGGTCATCACCCAGAATATAGGGAATGGGGAACTTCCATCTGTAGGTCTCATTTCTTAAGGCATTTCGCTGATTTTTCTGAAAAGAGAATTAACAGCTGGTGATGTATCTACTGTAGGGAGATGAGCTGATTTGTAGCAAAAATTCAATAAAGACAAGTGACAGAAAGCTTTTAATTACTTACAGGGAGCAAGATATCACCCTGAAAGAGGTCCAGTCCAGCAGCTGAAATGGAATTTAATCAAAGATGGTGTCAATGAATTTCAAAAATATTTCATTTCATAAACCACATTGAACCTGCTTATACAAAGTTAATGTCCTTGGGCATCTACACAAAATAAACAAGGACCAGCCTCTGTACACTGAGTTACAGGTAATAATAAAAGTAACAGAAGTTTCTAGTTTCAACTCAATATTTACTTCATGGCAAAGTCTTCTTGGCAGCGGTGGCACAATTATCCATGGTCACCTTTGATGAGCTCTGCTTGCTCTCAGGCAGTGACAAGAGTCACACAATGGGACAGCGATCAATAAGCATCTAAGCTGTTTTCCATGTTTGCAAAGCTTTATAAAAATCATATAGAGATGGACAGAAAATGCAGTTGGCACTGCAGAGTCCTTCTGAATCATAGAGTGCTTTTCTGCCTTAGCACCACAGGTCTGTCCAAAATTCAGAAACAAAAGGTATCTGCATCCCTTGTTCACAAAGAGTTACAGTCCTGGAAATATTCAGGTGTCACAGAGAGTTCTGAGCTCACTTGATTTTAATTCTCCTGTTACCATGATCCACCTGACCATCAGTCTCCTTTACAACACTGAAAATTCAGCATTATGCTCGCAACTCTTCAGATCTCATGAGAATTTAGGTGTGAACTCACCCAAGTTGATTTGGGGAATGTCTTTGAATATCTCACCAGCTCCAGCATCTGCAAGACAGCCAAAACATAAAGTGTTCGGATGTGGTGGCTCACAGCAAGTAGAAGGAAATGCTTCAAAACTCAAACCAGCTCACACAGCACTTACCAGCTTCACTGGAGAGCTGTCCCACCTGGAGGAGAATAGAATACAACCAGTATAAGGTATGAGATGCCTCTGGACTGATAGGAGCCTGTAGAAATCAGGTTTTACTTACAGAGACTGGAGAACCATAGACAGAACACAGCAGAAGCGTCAGGCTGAGTGGGAAGATGCTGGAGCCCATTTTTGCAGTGGGAACAGAAGATGGTCTCTCTCATCTCTGGCACTATATAGGGCACGTTGCTGAGCTTTCCATGGAGCATCAGCCAATGAGCATCAGCCAATGAGCATCAGACTTTCCACCTTTGAGACATGGTTATAACAGTTAGATTTCCTCCTGGATGGCACCTGATGGCATTGCTCTTATCAGCTACCTAAGTCCACTTGGAGGAACATTGCAGAGAGGAATGTGGTAACTTCATGTCTTCAGTGCAGCTGGTGAAAGACCCACCCAGGCTTCACATAACAACTTCTCCCTCTGGCCCAAAGTTGCTGACTCCTTCCCCTGTGTTTGTTACCTGTCAGCATTATCATCTTGACTGCACAGGAGAAAAGCCACACTCTTAAGCAGAATTATTCCAGGTTTATAGCACTCCAGTGCCATTAGAATTTGGCCCAGTGCTGGTTTCAATTAATAATTAACACCACATTGTAAAGATTAGATGTAAGAGAGATATGATTATGAATCCCCTGACAGTGTCTTTCCTCAGATGATCCCACCCCAAATCTGATGCTCCGTGCACAACCTGCCACTCTCTGCCTCCAGAGCAGTCACTTAGTAATCCTTGGCCTTCCAGGTGGGTTTCACAGATCACAAACTCTTGTCCTGAATCTTGCTATCTTCTTTCTCAGGGACATGGGTCAGGAAGGGCTCTATAAATCCCTAGTTTGCTGTGCATCAGTATTCCTACAGATCCCATATGCCTTGGAGTGCTTGAGTGCCTTTAGCTTAGGCATGGAATCCTGCTCCTCCATTTCACATCTGAAATTACAAATCATGGATGTGAGGATGTTCACTTCTATGTTCAGCAATTAGGTAGAAAAGGGCTTGTGCCATGACACCACTACCCAAGTGTCATGGCACAAGGCAGAGAGCTTGAGTAAGTAGGTTTTGAGCAGGAAATGGGTCTGTCCTAGAAAGAAGTCAGTCCTTCAAGCTAAGCAACATATTTTTCTCTAAACAAAACAAAGTAGGAATCTATTCACAAGAGATAACACAGCAGAAGAAAAAGTACAGAGATCTTTTCTTGTTTAGAGAAGAAGGACTTCAGAACACTAATCCTTCACCTATCATAAATGAATGTTCTTCAACACTTTATTTTAGGAAGGATTGTTGCTGACACCTAACCTGAACAGGACATACTACTAGCAAAATAAGCATGTCTCAAGATACAGCATGTCAAGACTGTTTTCAGAGGCAAGCAAAGAGAGTCCAAACACAGCACCAAGGCCATACTTCCAGATGTTTTGCAGTGGATGTGAGAAAGGAAGCAAAAAAAAATGAAGCAAAAGCAGAGCTGTCTGAAAACCACTTGGTTTTTACTACCCTTAACTTTAAAATAACTCAAGAACCTAAAGCAGATGTCTGACAATAAGTCATTCTGAAGGCACACATTTGTTTTCATAGATATATATATAGGGGGTCTCTTGGATGACTTTTAGGCACAGCGCTAGGCTCTAAGGTCTCCCTGGAACCTTCTCTTCTCCAGGCTGGACAGCCCCAGCTCTCAGCCTGTCTCCATAGCAGAGGGACTCCAGCACCAGTTTCATTTTGTCCTCCCTGGAGGGCAGTGCATGCACATTATTCCATTGGCTGCAGTTCTGTGAAAAACTTGGTGATGGGAAAAGCTGCTGCTCTTCCACTCTGGGAAGTACAGCAGGTCTCTTACAGCCTTTTGGTCTCTTACTCCACATTGCATGAAGTGCCCAAAAATACTGTGCATCAGTATTCCCAGACCCAAGGGCAGATCCAACCTGGATTCCTAGACAGAGGCACTACCTGGTGTCACTAAATGCAGATAATACCCTTTGTTAATCTGCTTGTATTGGTTTTAACTCCACTGCAACACAGAAAAACTCAGACACAGAAATGTGCCTGAAATTTATGCCCTTCGTAAAAGCAAGAACAAAAACAAGTGTCTCCTGAGCTGGAAAAAATGTCATATCAAAGTGGCACCAACCACATTTTTAATAAAAAAATTACCCATCACCTTCCCAATTTTTACGTAAGTCTGTTTACCATTGCAGGGCTTGAAATCAACACAAGATTGAACTTGTCAAATGCCTCCAGGTTAACACCTTCAGCATTCAGATCTGAAATACACAGCAGAGGATAACAACAGCAGTTGCTCTGCTTTTAAAGTATCATAAATACCTATAATTCTAGATAGAAAAAATGAATAAGTGTACATTAAAAATAGGAGCCTATATAAAAATATCAGCCTGGATGAAAGAGCAGAAGGCAATTAGCAAAATACCCTGTAGTGGAGTAAGTTTGGCAAAGGTCATAGAGAGATAATCTTTCATTAAATACACCGAGAGTGGTGAGACAAAAAGGCTTTTGGACATTCAAGGCATTGTCCAGGTACCACTGGAAAATTTTATTGCATGTTATAATGTAATCTCAAATGTTGTCAAGTTGGAGCAGAGGACCACTGAAACCAGATCGAGGACAGATACAAAATTGATTTTATAAGCAATTTAATATTTATTTTTAGACCTGTACAATTCAAAACTTACAATAGTGTCTAAAATCAGATGGCAAAAAAGATTAAAAAAAAGATAAAATCTTGACCTACATTACTTAGAAAATATCTATATAAACTCTTGGCCTGTAATGAGCTCAGACTGGTAGAAAGAGAAAGGACAAAAAGAATAGAGCAGATCAATATGAAAGTTTTTCACTATACAATTCCCTGACTGGATTACTCATCTCAATGCCCTGGCGATGCTTTACACAGGGCAAACCCCACTCTGAGCGAGAATCATTGGTGACAAAGAGACAGAAGAACCCAGATCCTGAAGCCTGACACTGATCAAACAGGGATCACTCTCAAAATCACAACACTCTCCACCACACAAAAACATCTCTGCTGTTTGTGACACCCAGCACAGCCCCACCTGAACCAACATTCAAATAGTCAAGAGTGACTCTGGCCCCGGGTAAGGGGATACCCAGCACATTTACATCCCTGCACCTGCCCTGCTGCCCAGAGCAGTGCCACCAAAATCCCCCCAGCAGCAGCAGCAGCAGCAGCAGCAGCAGCAGCAGCAGCAGCAGCAGCAGCAGCAGCAGCAGCAGCAGCTCTATAAAGCTGCTCTTGCCATCCCTGACACTCCACCAGCAGCAGCCACTGACCTGCCTCAGGCTCTGCTGCCACAGCCCCCTTGGCCAGCACAGCTCTGCTCCCCAGCTCACACCATGGAAGCTTGTCACCCTCCACAGCAATCCAATGTCACTTCATTTCGGGTCTTAACTGTGACCATCATCACCCTGGAGGCATTTCCTGGCATGTGGATAAATGCTTTCATTGTTTGTGTGCTTTGCATTGCCTGGGTCCAAAAGAAAACTCTGAACTCTAATGAGAAGATCTTGCTGCTGCTGGCATGCTCCAGGATTTCCTATTTGTGCTTTGCATGGGTATCCCACTTCTTTTCACTAATTTATCCCAATTTCCTTCATGTTCACCCCATAGTTCAATTAATTGCAACATTTCAAACCTTTTTTAATTATTCCAACTTGTGGGTCTCAGCCTGTCTTTGTGGTTTCTACTGCATAAAAATTGCCAATTTCAGGAACAGCTTCTTCATCTACCTGAAAGGAAAAATTGACAGGATGGTGCCCTGGCTCTTGTTGGGGTCAGAGATCTTAGCCTTGGCTATGGGCATTGTTATCTATGACCTCATTGAAACTGCACAGTGGGAAAACCACACTTTCTCCAGCCAAGAAAATTTCTGGGAAGCAAGAATCAAAATGGATAAACATTTTTTCTCCTCTTATTTTCTTGCTGGATTTGGATATGCTGCTTCATTCATGGTTGTCATCTTTTCTGCTGTTTGCCTTCTCTTTTCCCTCTGGAGACACAAGCGCAGGATGCAGACAAACTCCATGAAGGACCTCAGCATGGATGCCCACATCAGAGCCATGAAATCTATCCTCTCCTTCTTAGTCATGTACAGCATCAACTTTGT